CTGATTACACCCATGATCGTCTGTCACCGAGAGGGAATTGAACTCAACAAAATTGTTTGCGACATTGAATCATGCATAAATCGAGATTTGACATTTTTAGGAAAACAACCCCCCCCCCCCCCCCCCGCCCCCAACCCTCCTTCTTCCTCCAGGGCACCGAGGGCTTCGGAGCTCAGGTCAACAAGTGCTTGGGAAACGCCAAGTATTTATATGATCTGCTGCAGAGGAGGAAAGACTTTGAACTCGTCGTCAAAAACAAAGTAAGCTTGGTTTTCATGAAACTTTTCCTCCGTGTCTTTGACTGACAAAGTAGCGGCTTCAAAAATCACGGAGTGGCCCCCGGCACACTTGTCGTCTGTTTTTCACACAGCCAGAGCACAGCAACGTGTGTTTCTGGTACATTCCTCCCAGTCTGAGAGGCATGCCACCGGGTACCGACCGAGACAAGAGACTCCATCAGGTCTGTCCAGATCAAGGTTATTATTGTAACGAAAATTCAAATTGGAAAGGGTTTTTTTTCTTCATTGACGAAATAAAATACAAACGACAATATTTTTTTTTGAAAAAAAGCTACCTAAAACAACATTGTCTGCTCATAAAAATAACGAAAACGAACGATGATCGTAGTGCAGATATCCTTTGTTTGCGTCTTTGTCAACTTTTTGTGATCATTTCAAAAGTTAGAAGACGGACGGCGCCAGTTTACAAGCGTGCGGTAACACGAGCTCCAAAGCGATGTGATGCCTTGAAGAAGAGGTCTGATGGGTAGAAAACACAAATAAAACGATTTGGTGGAAATTGGGAGGAAGCGGCAGAGCACCATCAGGGATTATTTCGATGATGAGTGCATCTCGGGCAGAAGCAAATAAGTTGTCGCCGCCACAGGTGTCATCTACGGCATATTGCTTACGAGGAATCTAAAAGGACATCTGAGAAGCACTCAAAAGAATGTCCATCCCCCCCGATAGCGAGAGAAGATGCCAGCCAGGCAAAGAGACCCCCGTGACTGCAATTCCACTGGCCGCCAAGTTAAAAAAACAGCGCATCACATTACGACAAACTCAAACTCAACTTAAAGCAAGCATTTTCCCTCAAACTGAAAAGGAATCAAAACGAACAAATCCATTCGAAACACCGCCTGAATGAGAAATAAAAAGTCAAAAAGGGCATGAAAATCCCAAACGATAACAAGCCCGGTCCGGATGGGAGCACAAATGTCCCGACGTCATTCGATGCCGCGTGATTTTTCCATTCTTCTTGATTATGCCTCACCCGACTCCAGGTCGCCCCTCAGATCAAAGGACGGCTGATGGAAAAGGGATCCGTTCTGATCGGTTATCAGCCGACAAGGACCAAGGTCAACTTCTTCCGATGCGTGTTTGCCAACCCAGCGACGCAGCCCGAGGACATCGATTTCCTGCTGGAGGAGATCGCCCTACTGGGGCACGACTTATGACGGGGTGGTCGGTCTGGCTTTTGTTTGGATCGCACGTGCTACAATCTGCTCTGTGTTGCTGCCAAGTCTGAGTACAGCTTACGGTTACGATCGCGCCTCCAAACAACGCACCTGGCCCCGCTGCGGACAATGGAGCTCGACGGCAATATTGTGGCCCAGCGGGACGACTAGGAAAACGGCAAATGCCGTTTCGTGCGGTGGCCTACAGCGAGCTTGCATTCTTCAACCACTGCAAATACTGCGTGCATAGTGTACGGCTTCGTTAGAATCTTCTCGATACGGACAAATCAAATCAACCGCATTTTCAAAAACGTGCACTTGCGGTTGCTGGGAAGTGCAAAATCATAACCCTTTTACATTGCATGAAACATATTTACATTTCAGAAAAATTCAATTAGCCATGGCGAGCCAACATCCTTCAAATGACTCAAGTTATGCTCTACAGGTAATACCTTTCGGTCTTCTGTCTGTTTGGGGCCATTTAAAAGGCACCAAAAAGTTACCACAAGAAGGGAAACTCAAGTCTAGTAGCCAACTTGGTGACCACCAAACTGACAACATATCACCTGGGCTCTTCACTCCAAAAGTCACGCTCTGTTCCGCTCTCTTCCCGTCAACTCACACTTTGGCCTATATTCCCTTTCCAGTTTGTGTTGATTGCAACATTCTTGTTCCCCTGAAATGTTCAATTTGTTCACTCCTCTGGAATGTAACGTTTCTTTTTAGAAGTTGTGAACTTTTCTGAAAGATAAATATCTATGTGAAATGCAAGTATGTTTCAGCTTCTTCATTTCTGAAATAAGTGTTTGTGTTTGTAAAAGGTACATTTGTTTCGCCTTATGTTTGTTTTCTGAAATGCATTTCTGTCGATGTGAAAGTCTTTCACAGTTTGTCATTTTGTTTTGCTCATCCCCTCTACGGTAATTGGTAAAACAATGCATTTACCATTTCGAAAATAAATAAAAATCAAGATGCCAACATTTCTTAAAGCGGTACCCGTATTACTTTGTGTCAGATTGTGCATTGAGGAAATGATTTACATCAGGAACACAGCAGCAGTCCAAGAAATAAACTCGATAGTGAGCAACATTTAAAATATATACTTTTAATAGAATTCAGTGTAAAAAACATTGACGAGTTGAACATTGTTCGATTCAGCATTGTTGATGTTCTCCATCGCCACCTAGAACGAAACGCGAACAAACGTGATTTCGGAAGACGAAGATATCTGGTCCAGTCGTAGCAGACCTCGCCAATGCAACTTTTATAGTTTATCGCAGGGGGGTACGTTCCGAAAAGAAATCCGTGTAACTGCTCCGAGAAGTTGGCTTCCTAGTTTAGAAGGACTTCACGAGGCGACAGCCTTTTATTGTCCATACGTCCATCGCTGATTTACGCCATTTTGGGGTGGGAAAAACTCGGACCAAAATGTCCAACGACACGATGTGCAATACAGTACCTACATGCATCTCGAAAACCTAAAACACGCATGTCAACATACCGTTTCGCCTTCTAAACGGGAATTTAGGAGTGATGAGATGAAAGCGAAGCCCTGGTCGGATGCACCTCGCCCTTTCGTCACTTTTCCTCAAATCGACGTCACCAATCAACATGAACCACTTCCTGCCACTCAATGCAACTCTCAAATGTAACAGCAGGGGGCACAATAACCTAAATACCATCATGTAGAAAGGTACAGTACGTTCTTTTAATATTGCCGTAAACTTAGAATCGCGACAATTAGCTTGATTTTTTTTTTTTTTACAATTATTATATCATACTGTCCTATAGAATGTAACCAATGCTCAAAACCTGTTTGTTACAAACGTCAATTTGGCAAGCGGTACAGAGACGAGGCGCGGAGAGTGTTGACATTGACAGTCTCTTAGCCAATCGGGATCCCAGAACACAAAGCATTGTTGAAAAAAATAAAAATAAAAACGGAACTCTTAAATGCCTCTCAAGACAATAAATGGTTAAATCAAACCCCAATTTCAGGAGGGAAAAAAATACAAGTTTGAAGCTGTAAATGCACAAGTATTACGTTTGAAGAATTGATTGCTTTTGGGGGGGTAAACAGCAGGAGCACGAAAACCGCTGTTCAAGTTGCCCAATGGAAGGGGACTCATTCAGAGCTGTGAGACTCCCCCAGGGCGCATTCGGTGTCTTCAGCAGCTTTCTTTGCACGTTTTGCCATTCAAGTCATAAACATGTGCAACTATCGCGACTGTTAAAGTAGAAGAGTGTCATAAAAGCTGACTTCAGAAAAGTTGTTGCGGTTTAACTACGTTGAAGCGACTTAAAAGGCCGTTTAGATGTATCGTTAGGATTTTATGATGCCACACATCTCAGCAAATGAAGTCATTCCCCAAAAAGATGAGGCAAAAAAATAAATAATTCAAAGTCAAACAAAAAACATACCAAGCCTTTTGTTTCTCCATGGAGTAAATTTCTTCGGATTTTTCTGCACTCGTCCGTTGATCAAGACCCCTTCAACTTTGGCTTTCCGCGCAGCTATAGTGAAACACTTGTTAAACATGCTGTTGGGGGGGGAGTGG